TTCCACTCTCTCTGAAAAGCAATGGAAAAAATATCCTCTGGTAAGGATTAAAAAAAAAAAGTAGCAGGTTAGTCAACGTGAGTTACTATGATTCACTGATAAAGCACTAGAAGGTCTGCATAAAAAATTAACATTCTAACAAGATCCGGTGTTTAAATGTTATACCTACTGTTATGATGCATGAAACTCCATAGAAAAGTATTCTAAATCATCATGGAAAAAAAGAGAGAGAGAGAGACTCGGACTTTTACTGTAGCACATGTGAGAACGTAAATGGTTATTAAGACTGTTATGAAGCAGTTTCATAAATAGTTCAGAGCAGGGGCTCTGGAGCCAGGTGGCCTGATTTCAAATCCAGGCTCTTCTACTTACTAGCTGTTGACCTTGGGCAGGCAACTTCAACTCCCTGTGTCTTGGTTTCTCCCCATAAAAAAGAATAATTGCTAGTATCCAACTCACTGGATTGCATGAGACTTAATTAACACATGTATGAGAATGGTGTTTGACCTAGAAAGTGCTGAAAGTGTTAGCTTTCTCTCTCTAATGGGGTGCCTGTGAAAATTATATCTTATTTTCCATTTCAAATTTGTGAGATGTATGTTGGCCACTGTCCCTGCGGGCTGAAACCCACAAACCACCACTGGTCCATGAACCCCACTGGTGTGTGTGTATATATATATAGAGAGAGAGAGAACATTTAGCTGTTTACTTACCACGTACGACACAGGTTGACAGAACTACTGATGATGTTCTGACAAATACTAGATTTTTAACATAACAGTATACTTCCTGTGAGAGATCATCACTCTTCTTAAACTGTAACACAGTCGATATGCCAGGGGAAGAGGCTCCTGGCATTGAGCTTTTATTGCACGGTGCAGAAGGGCAATACCACCAGTAGGTCAATAGATCCCGATGCCTGTTGTAGCTGTCAGGAACCTCACAATGGATGTCAATGCTTTCATTAGTCAATGTGCAGTTTAGTGTTGGAAACGGAAGAGGGTCTGGAAAAAAAATGTAATATTTAGTACAAAAAAAGTAATATTTAGACTCATCTTCTGTAATTTTACGAAGAGGTCCGAACTTTCTTGTGAGTTTGAGGAGATGAGCAGCCGCTGCCCCGGGCACCAGCAGAATTCTCACTTCCTCAGGGTCTGATCTGCCTGCTCAGATTCACAACACACACGGGCCCCAAGCCCCTCCTCAATTCTGAAAGCCCAACGATCTTGACAAGACGGTGGCAAAGTCACGGAGCTGCAGATCCTCATCTGAATTGACAGGAAGGTTTATAGATTTTATTTTTCTCACATATTTCAAATATTCATTATCTTGTTTTACTAAAAATAGTCATGTGCTTGAGTATAGGGTGCTCCCCATAACTAAGTGGGGTGTTTCTTAACATTGAGAGAAAATAGTTTATATTATCTTTCAAAAATCTGAAATGTTTGCCCTGGCTGGTGTGCTCAGTGGTTAGAGTGTCATCCCAAGCATTAAAGGGTCACGGGTTCAATTCCTGGTCAAGGGTACATACCTGGGTTGCAGGTTCAATCCCCGGTCTCTGTTGGGGCACAAGGAGGCAACCAATCAATGTGTCTCTCTCACATCAATGTCCCTCTCTCTCTCCCCTACTCCCTTCCTCCCCTCCACTTTCTCTAAAAGTCAATGGGAAAAACATCCTCGGGGAAGGGTTAACAACAACAAAAATCTGAAATGTTTAATTCCAAAAGCTACTTGACTCACAGGGTTCTGCAGAAGGTACTATGGGCTGGCCCTGCTGATAAGCAGAGTAAGGCGTGGCACCTGTCAGGAGGGAATCTAGCACTTCCACCCGTCTCCCCTCACAGCATTTCCATATCTCACTTGACCTCGACAATGACCTTGTAAAGTATTCTGTTCCCTTTTACAGATGAAAATGAGACATATTTAGCAATGGGTTTCTCCGTTTGTAGAACAGAAGCCTGCTCACCAACAGGTATGCACACCTCTCCGCAGCACTGGGTCAGACTTCTGCACCCCAGACCTGTCTGTCTATAACCTTTCCCATTCTCTCGCTGCCATGGGACTCACCACAGCCGTGTCTAACAGATTAGTTACTTCTGTGCCTTTAGCAGCATTAAACAGGCCAGAAATGTGCCTACTTCATCCCCATAGATAACTTAATCAGTTGCTTTATAATTAGTTAATTCAGCTCACAACTCTGTGAGAAATGAGATTTTCATATATATACATATATATCAATATCAGGTGGCATTTGTATATTTCTGTTAATTTAATAAAAAGTTATACACCAGTCGGGACCATTTAAGGTCAGAACAGTTAATTCTACTTACATGAACATTACCAATGCAACAGAGGTTGTAAGGGGATGTGAAAGAACTAATAAACACTACTAGTGGAAATTCTAAGGGGAATTTGAGGGAAAAGGCACAGCAGGTAGCAACTTATGCACAGAAGAAAGAGGTGTGAGGAAATCCCCCTTCTAAAATTCCCTTCATTAAGCCTCCGTGAGGCCTGGTGTCTCCGGAAGAATACCAAGTTACTTAAGGACAACTAACGCACCCTTAAAGCATGACTTCCCATTTCTAAAAAAAAGTGTGGCCGATCATTTTATCATTCAAGTATAAAACCTGAGTCATCTTCTGATTCTTTCAAACATCTGCAACCAATACCTCTTGTCCTACTTGACTGATCACAGTAGCTTCTAGCCTGATGACTCTTCTCCCTAATCTACCATAAATAGCTACCATCTGATTAATCTTCCAAACATATAGTTCATCAAGTCACATCCCTGCTCAGGTACTGGATACAGTGGCCCCTCACTGCCACAGGCTAAAATCCAGATTCCCGAAGCAGGACCTGAAGCCCCCCATTTAATGCTGTGAATATCACTGCCTCCCAATGGAGACTCGCCTCCCTGCACTTTGCTCCTCTGCAGGCCTTCGCTAGGCTTCCTGAGGGCCATCACAGTCAGCACAGCAGAGGAAGTGAGCTGCAAAGGGAAGGGGTGGTACACCTGACACTGAGACAATGAGGGATCAGAACGACTGGTAATGACAAGTCTAGATTATGCCCATGGGGAGCCCTGAGTAGAGTAGGGGACAAGATCATTACAGGAGAGGACAGCAAGGTCTGAGAAATCGGGACATTAAAATATTACAATCATGCCCGGCCGGGTGTGGCTCAGTCGTTGAGCGTCGACCTAGGATCCAGGCGATTGGGGTTCGATTCCTGGTCAGGGCACATGCCCAGGATGCGGGCTCGATCGATAACTCTCTCATCATTGATGTTTCTGTCTCTCTCTCCCTCTCCTTTCCTCTCTCTGAGATCAATAAAGATATACTAAAAAAATAAAATAAAATAAATAAAATAAAATAAAATAAAATATTACAATCATCAAGAATTATGACAGCTGGGACATCAGAAACAGTGAAAATGAACTAGGCACTAAAATGATCCAGAAAAATTGGGGTGATGTTCACTGCAGCATTATATACAATAGCCAAGACACAGAAACAACCTAAATGTCCATTAAAGGGTGAATGGATAAAAGGGCTGTGGTACATATATACAATGAATATTAGCCATAAAAAAGGAGGAAATCCTAGGTAATTAAAATATTGGGGGGGACACTTGGGAAAGTATATGACTATCTATCCACTATGCTGTACACCTGAAACTCATACAAAATAACAATGAATGAAACTGTAATTGAAAAATAAAATTTAAAAATATATAAAGAAATAAAAAGAGGAAATCCTACCATTTGCAACAACATGGGTAAACCGTGAAGGCATTGTGTTAAGTGAAATAAGTCAGACAGAGAAAGACAAATGCTGTCCTGTATGATCTCACCGATATGTGGACTCTAAAAAAGGGAACCACCAAACTCATAGAGAAAGAAAAGACCGGAGGTGAAGGGTAGGGGGAGGGAGAATTGGAGGAAAGTGGTCAAAAGGTACAGACTTCCGGTAAAAGATAGCAAGTACCAGTAAGGGAATGTATGACACGATGGTGACAGTTACCTGCTGGAGGACACACAGGAAGGTTGTTAAGAGTTCTCAACTCTAGAGAAAATTTTTAATCCTTTGTAACCCTTATCGTCTCTGAGACGGGTTAGCTGAACCTACTGTGGTAATCATTTCTCAACACGGGGACACCAAACCATCACGCTGTGTGCCCGAAACCTACTCAGTGATGTGTCAACTGGGTCTCAATAAGACTGAAACAAACCACCACTGGGGTGCAACCATGCACCTCCAGATGCCTGCTGCAAGGGAGGGGCTTTAGAGATGGGAGAGGGAGAGTAACCTGGAGCACCCCGAGAAGCACGGAGGAGCCTGCAGCGTATCTCCAGTTCCAATTTAAAGTGACAGATGAAAAAACATACAAACAAAACCACTCCTGGGTGGGCAGCAGGAGGACACAGAAACTCAAACTTATGGAGCACCATCACCGGTCAGTGGAGCTCAGAGAGTTCCACGTCCACTGCTATCACGACATCCTTTGCCAGGGCATTCTAGCAAACAAGGGAGGCACCTCTGCCCAACAGGTGCTGCTCTCCCCACCTCAGTCACCTCCTCTCCTCGCCCAAAGGATGAGGGGGGAATCTGGGTACCAGAAAGGGCTCTGGGTACCAGAAAGAGAGGGAAACCATGACAATGTGATAATAAACACTTTTGTTTCTCATAAGCCATTAATTTGTATGAGTCTTTTAAAAAGCTGGAAATTTGCCATTTTAAACAAACCAAGTTATGGAATACTCACCAAGGACGATAAGACGAAATTTCAGGCCCTTTTTAAGATCCACGGATTCAATTTCAAATTCACCTTCGGCCAATGATGTTAAATTGGAGATGACAAGGTTACCTGACTTAGGGTCCAAATCAACATTCTCTGCTAAAGGTCCATAACGTTTGACCTTAGTGAGCACACGACTCCATTCTGCGATTTTATCCTGTCCTTTTTTCCATATTATCTCTGTAAAATCTACAGTGCTTGATGGTGACAAAGTAACATTCCCATTCACGATTCCATACTGAAGTGTGCTTTTACAGGTGATGAGATCTAGGAGGGGGGAAAAAAATTGGTTAGGAAATACAATATGACTGTCCAAAACAGAAAACCATCTTCCAAGATGCTCTATGGAGAAAAGAGTTAAATGTAGTGGTGAACATTCACCAGCTACTTTGTGTGCTAAGCTGATTAACTGCTGACAGAAAGAATCCACTCTTTAATTGGGGCCCACATAGGCCCAAGAAGTGGAGTCGACATTTATAGAGCACCCACTACATGCCAGGTGCAGTGGGCAATGCTGGGAACGTAGCCGCAAACAAGACGGGTATCGCGCCAGGCCCTTAAGGGGTCTTGCTTCGTGGAGAAGACACTGAAGGCAACGGCCTTCCCCAGAAAGTCATGCTGAAAGGGACATAGGGTGACAAATCACTGAGGGATGAGAGCTGGATAAGGAGGGAAGGAGAGTGGGCACACAGAGGAAGCAGCGTTCCCAAGGCAGGTCCTGAATCAACAAGGAGTCTGGTCTGTTTGAGGAAATAAAAGCAGTTCTAAATGTTTGAAAAGAAGGCAGCAAGGGGGTGATGGGTTAGAAAGGAGGCTGCAGAGGCAGGCAGGGTCAGGGTCAGAGTGTGTGAGTGGGGGCTGGGGGGTGTCAGGGAAGACATGCTAGGGGTTTGGAACTTACCCTGTTGGCAAGGGAAGGGACAGCCACAGAAAGGTTTTGTCTGTTTGTTTATTTTCTTACCCATTGAGTCACCCTGTGTCTTTTTATTTGGGCATTTAATCCATTTACATTTAAAATTATTATTGATAGACACCTATTACCATTTTAATTCTTTATGCCTGTGTTTCTCTCTCTATTTCTACTTCTAATTACAGCATTTCCTTTACCATTTCCTGCAATGCTGGTTCAGTGGTGATAAACTCCTTTAGCCTTTTATTTGTCTGGGAAGCTCTTTATTTCACCATATACCTTGAATGATAGTCTTGGTGTATAGAGTAGTCTTGGTTTCAGATCATTGTTTCGCTTTACCTGGAATATGTCATGCCATTCCCTTCTGACCTGTAGAGCTTCTGATAAGAAATCAGTTCACAGCCTTATGGGAGCTCCTTTGTAGGTAACAGACTGCTTTTCTCTTGCTGCCTTCAAGATTCCCTCTTTGTCTTGAATTCTTGGCATTTTAATTATGATGTGTCTGGGCATGAGCCTCTTTGGATTCTTCTTGCTTGTGCCTCCCTGTGCCTCCTGAACTTGTGTGACTTTTTTCTTGACCAGGTTAGGGAAGTTTTCTGCCATTATTTCTTCAAACATGTCACAGAAAGGTTTTAAACAAAAGATGAATGTGACATAATTTAAGTTTCCACGGGCTAACCATCTGCAGAGTGGACAGTGGTTGATGGAGGCAGAGAAAGCAGAGCAGAGGCAATGCAGTAGCAAGGAGAGAGAGGCAGATGGGACAGACCAGACCAGGGACACGCGAGTGGACCCACTCAAGAAGTCACAGGAGTTAGTAATTGGATGTGCGGGACGAGGGAGAGGGAGGAGTTAATAATGTTGGCTGTTTGGCAGCCCTTTTTCTTGGCTGACAGGGGTTGCTGAGGTCAAAAACAATGTCAGGAAGCTGGCCGGGGGAACAATGGGGATTAAGGACTATGTGCAGTGGAGTGCTGGAGCTGATTCCAACCTTCTGCTGCCGGCCAATGGTTACCATCTCTTGTCAGATCATACTGGTGGAGTTCTTTCAGCAAAACACTGACAAAGGATTTAACAAATGAGAGCCTCCCGCCCCCTCCACACCAATTCAGTCATTAAACATTTATCACCACCACTGAGACTGGGTTATTCTCGATACCCCCAAATGGGTTTAAATGCATCTTGCTCCAGACTTGACTTTCTTGTTAAGAGCAAAGATCAACTGCTAAGGGAGAGAATTAAAGATAAACTGAAATTTGAAGTTTTTGCCTAGTAGCAATCAGGGTAACGTGCAGGAGCGCAGGAAAAATCAAGACATTCAATAGCCCAATTGTCGGCAATTGTGTGCAGTCATTTCAAATAAGCAGCAAATATCTGGGGAGGAGGTGGGTGCAGGGAGG